GGCCCGGCCCGCGCCCGCGGCCACAAAGGGGGGTCACGTGGCGCCGGGGCCGGGCTGCCATTGGGCCGCGAATGAAAACAAAGGAAAAGGATTAATCACACACACAAAAAGAAAAAGGGCCCAGAGTTTCCATGCGGGGACCTTAAAAGTGAAGAGGAATTAAATAACTTTTTATAATTAATTATAAGTAAAAGACGCGCGCACGGGCACGCGCGCGCAGACGGGCACGCACACACATACATGTGCACACACATGCACACGAAACCCCACACACCTACCCCCCCTCAGACCAACACGCAGACCTCAAATTGTTATTAAGAGGGGGAAAAGCCGCCGCCAAAGGTTACATTATCAGTGCAAGCAAAAGGGAGACTGACCCTTTGCCAGCAGCACAAGCAGATGGGCTAATACCGTGAATAATGTGCTTGCTATGCTCTAAAGCCCTAAGAAAACTTATATTAAAGCAGCGAGGGCCACTAAAAGTTTTATGGCTCTGGACAGGGAGCGGACTGCTTGTCAGGCTCGAAATGCTCCGTTTCTGTGGCTGATGAAGAGGGGAAGGTCCCCTCCGGAGGAAAGGAGAGGGGGATTTTGATTGCTGCCGGGAGAAAAGGGTGAAAAGGCTGTAAAAGGTACCGAAAAAAGGGCTGGGCTGTAGAAACAGAGTGTGTGCGTGTGTGTATCTGTATTCTATACACCTGCGTGCGCGGCCAGGGACACCCATGGGTGCCTGGATAAACCCACACGTAAAAAAAGGTCGAGTGGAGAAAGCTTTCCATGAGAAATGATCTCGTGCTTCTTTCTCTCTCTGATCTCTCTTCATAAATGAAGTTCCAGGTTAATAATTATAACCTTCCCGCAATAATAAATAACGGTATAACAGAGAGACAGGGCTTGTTTTTCTCCCCAGGACCGGGGCTGGGTTGTGCCCGTCCATGCAGAGAGCAATTTACCATTCGGGGATGCTGTAATTTAAAAGCAGAAAAGCGTGCAGGCTCTGATGGGGATCGGCTCAAAGAACAAGAGCTCGGGCTGGGCTTGGGTTTGTCGTTGGCTTCCCCCCGCCCTCTCCCTGGATATATTTTTCCATCTCGCATCCCGGTCGCCATGTTGCTGGGTTTTGTGTCAGGGATTCCCAGGAACTAGTTAAATTCAGGAAAAAGAAGCCAATTCCGAGGCTCAGAGCGTGACACCTCTCAGTTTCTGGACGGGCTCCCTCTCCTACAACTCCTCACATCCACGGTTTAATTTGCATTAAAGAAGCAGGCCCGGGGTTGTCTCACAGTGATTGCATTTCTCTATCGTTTGCTAACCCTGTGAATTTATTCGTATAAGGTGATGCCTTTCCCCTTGAGTAGGGAGATTTTTTTTTCCCTTGTGCTCCGCCTGGTGCGTGGGAAAAATCCCTCTTTCCCCAAGAGCTTAGCTTTTCTTTTCTTTTCTTTCTTTTCTTTTCTTTTCTTTTCTTTTCTTTTCTTTTCTTTTCTTTTCTTTTCTTTTCTTTTCTTTTCTTTTCTTTTCTTTTCTCTTCTTTTCTTTTCTTTTCTTTTCTTTTCTTTTCTTTTCTTTTCTTTTCTTTTCTTTTCTTTTCTTTTCTTTTCTTTTCTTTTCTTTTCTTTTCTTTTCTTTTTCCTTGCAAATCTAGTGTTGGCAAAAGCAGCAAGAACGGTTGGGAGCGGCCGGAAAGAGTTTCCTTTTGCATCCCAAACTCTTTCGCTGTATCCCAGCTCGCCGGTGAACCGCCCCGGCCCTCGAAAAGGAGGAACCGGCAGCCTCATGACAAAGCCCGAGACCCCCAAAACGCCACTTTAATCCAAACAAGCTAGAAATTATCGGAAACTTAACTATTAATTTTTACATCCGTCCTGATCTGCCGAGACTGAATAGATTTATGCTGATTTCGATAAGCGCATTCACAGATATGAAATATTTAGGGAAATTCTCCCTTCAATCGAGCTGCGTTTCGCAAATGCTTTTTTATTTTCTTCGCCCCTTTGCTAAACTGCGCTTCGGCCTCAGCTTCAGCTTCAGATTTATTATGTGTTTCTCAGAAACCCTTACCACCCACACAGATGCTTCAACTGACAAAAGTTTCTAGGCTTCTCCCTGCGTGAATGCAGCCGGCCAGTCCCTCTCTGCTGCAAAATGGGAGAAATGGAGCTTGAACAAACAAACTACAAACCAGCCACATTTCCATTCTGCAGCAGGCAGCTTATTTTTTTATCCCCCCCCCCCCCCCCAAATTTTTCCTTTTTTAACCCGAAATTTTTACTTTCTAGACTTCCCGAATGCAGGCCCTTGGATTAAACTCTTTAAATCTTTCTTGGTTTAAGTATCTCTTTAGCAAAAGCCAAATTTCTTCGCTGAGTGAGTTAGGCCGAGCTGTCAAAAGTCTTTCGAGAAAAAGATTGATCGTTTCTCTCTTCTTTTCGGTTTGTGTGGACCCGGGCACTTTAAAAGGAAAAAAAAAATCTTCCTGGGAAATGACTTTTCATTTTATTTATTTGTTTTGTAAACCCTGGAAGTGGAGCTGTTTATTGGCGGTGGGGGGAAAGGGGGAAAAAAGATGGGAAGGAAGAAACGTGATTTCAAAGATATCTGTGACCTTAAAAGATGTTCGGCCTTTAAGAAAAGTGTAAAGCGTCCTTTAAGTCTGGCTTTAAAAGCAGAAAGATCACGTTGTTTCTTTAAAAGTAATGTAAGAAGGTAGATCAGGCCGGTCTAACTATACTTGACTTGAAAGCTCACTTGATTTCCTAAGTGCTCGCATCCAGACTCAGACACAAACCTCCGGACCAAACCCTCCTGCTGGCTTGAACTTTCCAAGTTCTGCAATGCATATATATATATATATATGATATGCAAATACACCCAGGCACTCCCGGCCTCTGTTGCCAGACCTGAGATCGCAGCTCGCCTGCGGTTTCTGCTGCCCTTCCCTGCCTGCCGGCGGGCACCTCGGGGGGCAAAGCCCCTTTTCCCACGCCTGGTCCCCTCCCCACCCCGGGGGTACAAACTCTCGGCAGCTCAGCGAGCGCGTCTGGAGGCCGCCCGGCACAGGCAGGGCAGGCAGCGAGGTAGCACCAGGCAGCACCAGGCAGCGCAGGCAGCGCAGGCAGGGCAGGCAGGGCAGGCAGAGCCGCCCGGCAGCCCGCGGTCGGCCGAGGAGGGATGGCG